CCACCACGGACACAGGTAGGTGTCTTTATTCTTGAAGGAGAAGAGAGGGGTGCTCAACTCATTTAATTCCCAGTGACAGTGGAAAGCCAGGAAGGAGGCTGTGGATGAGACAGAGATAGTCTCAGGATCACACGCCCTGGAACTCAGCATTTTAAGGCCACAAAATCTGGACCCCTCATGGACAGATGAGAGAACTGAGGTCCAGGGAGGGGACCAGGCTCGCCCGAGGTCAGGGAGACTTGGAAAGGGCCTGGACACAACGCAGGCCTCCTGACTCCCAGCCCAGAGCGCTGGGCCTTTCAGAGATGGGCGGGAAGAGAGCGGTGGGGATGGCCTTCACGGGTCCTGCGGGTCCCCATCTTCTGTCCACGTCTTGCCTCGGTGGGACTGGGCAGAAGGGAAGGGAAGCTTGGGGGCCAGGCTTCGAGGATGGGGTGCAGTGAAAATCGGACTAATGAGGCAAAGTGCTCTGGGAAAAACTCAAGCTTCACCACTCCCACCCTCTCCCCCCACTGACCTGGGCTGGGAGGAGAGAGAGGGTAAGTGCGGAGGAAGTTGACAGTGATGCAGAAGAGGGGATTTGCCTAGGTACCAGGTTTCACTGCCTCAGGGGTCCTTGGGAACAAAGAGATCTGGGTCTGAATCAGAGAGGAGTGGGTAAGAGGTCATATAGACAGGGAGAGCTGCCTGGAGCCCTCCTGCCCATCTATCTCCTTGCACAAATAGAGCCAGCACCGGGCTCCCCTCTCCACTCAGGAAGAGCCAGCTGGGGCGGGGGCTGTGCCCAGAACTAGAGGAGTGAGGGTGTCTTAGGGAGCCTTAAACGTGAGAAGAGGCCAGGCATAGTGGCTCACATCTGTAATCTCAGCACTTTGGGAGACAGAGGTGAGAGGATTGCCTGAGTCCAGGGGTTCGAGACCAGCCTGGGCAACTTGATGAGACCTCCTCGTCTCTACAATAAATCAAGTTAGCTGGTTGTGGTGGCGTGTGTCTGTAGTTCTGGCTACTTGGAAGACTGAGGCGGAAGGGTGGCCTGAGCCCAGTAGGTCAAGGCCGCGGTGGCCGTGAGCATGCCACTGCACTTCACCTGGGCGACAGAGTGAGATTCCAACTCAAAAAAAAAAAAGTGAGAAGAGTTTGAGGAAGCACCTGCCTGCCCTTGGCTCAGCCTTGGGTCCGTCCCTCTCAGTTCCAGCTTTCCAGAAGGGACAGGTGGAAGGGGTCTTAAATCCAGAAAGCCAGCAGCACAGAGTAAGAGTGTGGGACTGTGGAGACAAGACCAGCCAGGCTCAAACCCTCATTCACTTTTTGGTCGTATGACCTTAGGTAAACCCCTCAACCCCTCCTCACAGAACTGGTGAGAAAATGCAGAGTTCAGTTTTAAGTGTTATTATCACATCCCCACTGTACAGATGGGACAACTGAGGTCTGACCAGAGAGGAAAGGGCACTTGCCTGGGTGGCACAGAAGCAGTATTCAAATCAGTAGGCAGGTATCCCCGGTCCTGGTCATGGGGGTCCCTCAGCCTCCCCCCACCCCGCCGTGAGCTCTGCAAAGCCAGTAACCCCAGCCTCCTCAGCAAGGCCAGCCAGAAACCCTGCAGGGAGCGCCCAGATCCTGTCCCAACAAACCCAGGCCGCTTGGAGCCTGTGTGGAAAAAGCCGCAGCTTGGGCTCGTGTCCTCGGCTGCCCCGGAGGCGTTCAGAGGCCAGCTCCCTTCCACTGCCATTTATAGACAAGCACCCCACACCAGGATGCACCGCCCTCCTCCAGGACCTGGCCAAGAAGTCTGGCCTCAGACCCACAGGAGCTATGCCGGGGGGAGAAGGGAAGAAGCAGGGGCCTGGATTTTCTCATGAAGCATACCGGGTGACCTTGAGCAAATTGAGCCCCTCTCTGGACCTCAGGTATCTCCATGGAGAATAAGGAGTTAAGATTCTAGAGTCCACGACCTGGATTCGAACCCCAGCTTCACCATTTTTCTGCATTTGCTACCTGTGCAGATTTCTTAATCTCTCTCTGAGTCTCTGTATCTTCATCTGTAAAATGGGCTGATAAAGGGGTGAAGTCCGTCCTAGGGATGTGAGAGGATTAAGTGGGTTACCAAGCATAACTTGTATGTCAACCGTGGAGATCGGTGCTTGGCGCATGGCCCATGCTCAGTTAATGGAAGCCGTTATTTGGGGGTGTTTTTCTTGGTGAGCCCTTATTTCTAAGTACTATTTCGAATTGTCTAACTGCTTTCACAAGCAGCACCTCATTGGTTCCCTAGCACTCTCCAGAAGAGTACAGGGCAGAAATTTTTTTTTTCTTTTTTGAATCGGAATCTCACTCTGTTGCCCAGGCTGAGTGCAGTGGCATGATCAGGGCTCACTGCAGCCTCAGCCTCCTGGGCTCAGGCAATTCTTCTGCCTCACCTCCTGAGTAGCTGGAACTACAGGCATCATGCCCAGATGATGTATTTATTTTTTTGTAGAAACAAGGTCTCCCAATGTTGCCCAGGCTAGTCTCGAACTCCTGGGCTCAAGCAATCTTCCCATCTTAGCCTCCGAAAGTGCTTGGATCACAGGACTACAGGTGTGAGCCACTGCAGCCAGCCTAGAAATTCTTCTCTTTTTTTTAAGTCAGAGTCTCACTCTGTCACCAGGCTAGAGTTCAGTGGCAGGGTTCAGTGGCACACTCACGGCCACCACAGCCTCAACCTTCTGGGCTCAGATGATCCTTCTGCCTCAGCCTTCCAAGTAGCTAGAACTACAGGTGTGCACCACCACGCCCAGCTAATTACTTATTTATTTATTTCAGAGACTAGGTCTTGCCATATCATTCTGGCTGCTCTGGAACCCTTGAGCTCAGGCAATCTTCTCACCTCTGCCTCCCAAAGTTCTGGGATTACAGGCGTGAGCCACCATGCCTGGCTGGCCTAAAAATTCTTATTCCCATCTCACAGATGAAGAAACTGAGGGTCAGAGTCACACCATAAGGAGCCATGGGAGCTGGGGTTTGAATCTAAACTTCAGATTCCAGAGTCCACTTTCTCTTTCCCAAGCTGGTCTCAAATGCCTTGTCCAGCACTAAGGTCTGATTCCACAGCAGGGTGTCAAGGAGGCATCTTGGGGAAAGGGAAAAGTGTTTTGGGGAGAGGGGTGAGGAGGCAGAAAAGCACTGAGCAATCAGTGGGAGTGGGACCAGCACATCCCAGCTGCTGCTATTCTCTTGGCAGCCTTAGTCCCAGAACCTTTTGACCTCCTACCAAGCCCCGGCTATAAGAAACTAGTATGTAGCCGGGCTCGGTGGCTCAGCCTGTAATCCTGCGCCTTGGGAGGCTGAGGTGAGTGGATTGCCTGAGCCCATGGGTTCAAGACCCGCCTGGGCAGCGAGACCTCATCTCTACAATAAATCAAAAAATCAGCCGGGCATGGTAGCGCATGCCTGTAATTCCGACTACTTGGAAGGCTGAGGCGGAAGGATCGCCGGAGCCCAGCAGGTCAGAGTGAGACTCCAACTCAAAAAAAAAAAAAAAAAAGAAACCAGTATGTGACATTAAGTTAGACAACAGGAAGAACTTTCCACAATAAGAAAAATGAGGACAGTGGAACATCTCATTCCCAAATGTGTCCCCCAGGACACGAATAGCACCTGATGATGTCACTCCCTAGCTCAAACTTTCCTGTGGCTCCCCATGGTCCTCAGGTTAAGTCAGCAGTCCCAAGCCTAGTCTGCAAGACTCCTGCGGGCCGGCTAGCCTGCCTTCCCTGCCGTGTCTCCCCCTCCCACCACCCAGGCGCGCTCTGTTTCTCACACAGGTGTTTGGTAACACCTTGGGGGCTTCCCCATCAACCAGGCCTGGGCACAAGTGATCTCCTGGACTTTTGACACTCCCCTGCCTCCTCGCCCCTACCTGCCTTACCCAGTGGCCTCTTGTCTCTCTTTACCTATACCTTCCTCCAGGAAGCCCTTCCTGACCTCCCCACAAACCCCTACAGAGGCTCCTCCCCTTCCCCTCCTCAAGGGTAACACTGTTTTTACTTGTCTGTTTTCACCCACTGGCCCAAGTGCAGGAACCTGGCCATTAGGCTGCCCGGGTTTCATCCCTCTCTGACACTTGCTGGTAGTGGGACCCTTGGGTCATTCATTTACCTCTCTGTGTCTCAGTCTGGAAGTAAGATAATAATAGTACCCACCTCATAAGGTTGTTATGAGGATTTTAAAAGGCTTTACGCGTACATACCAGCCTCTGTGTGCATTTCAGTAAACATGAGGTCGTATTTATTTCATAAATATGCCTGGGATGTCGTTTTCAACAACATCTACTGAAGTGTTTTGTTTGCTTGTTTGATTTTGAGTTGGGATCTCATTCCGTTGCTCAGGCTGGAGTGCAGCGGCACGATCATGGCTCATTGAAGCCTTGACCTCCTGGGCTCAGGCAATCCTTCTGCCTCAGTCTCCTGAGTAGCTGGGACTTCAGGCATGTACCACTAATTTTTTTACTTTTTTCGAAGAGACGAGTTCTCACAATGTCGCCTAAGCTGGTCTTGAACTCCTAGGCTCAAGCAATCCTTTTGCCTCAGCCTCCCAAAGTGCTGGGATTGTAAGTGTGAGCCACTGCTCCCAGCCCCTAGAGTTATTTTATTTAAAACCACTTTCATACTGCTCACTATGTGCCAGGCACTACTCTAAGCATATGACAAGGACTAACTCATTTTATAGATAAGGAAATTGAGGCACAGAGAGATTAATTAACTTGCCCAAGGTCACACCGCTAGTAAGTGATAAAGCCAGGCTACAAACCCGGCACCCATGCTTTTAACTGAATGAATAAATGTGCCCTTGTATGGAGGGAGGGAACAGGGGCTTCACCCACAGAATTTTCTCAGTTGCCGCTCCCGTCTTCTTTCAGGTCCTGGCACTTCTGGTTGGCAAGTGATCTCTCTGGAATGTCAGTGAGGCTGGTTGAAGGCCAGAGGTGAAGCACCAGGGTCTCCACCCTCCCCCCCACCACCATGTCCCGGATGATGTCCAGCCGGCTCCTGGCAGGAAGCCATGCGGTCAGCTTGGTACCCTGTGAAGAGCCCAGGAGGGCCCTGCACCCAGGCCCCAGCCCCGGCCTGCCACCCCAGTGTTCTTACTATACCATGGAAGGCTGGGGAGCCCAGGCCCTATTGGCTTCCACGCCCCACAAGGGGCCCCCCAGCAAGCTCCAGCAGGCCTCACAGGCTGAGTCCACAGCCACCTGCTTCAAGCAGTCCCCTGGCGAGCAAGCCTTGGGGACCCCAGAGGAACTTGATGCCTACATTGACTTCTCGCTGGAGAGCCTCAACCAGATGATCCTGGAGCTGGACCCCACCTTCCAGCTGCTTCCCCCAGGGACTGGCAGCCCCCTGGCCAAGCCTGCCCACAGCACTGCCTCAAAAAGAAAGGATGAGGAGCCTGAAGCCTTGGGTAAGAACTGGGGGCACAGGGCCAGGAGCGGGACTTGGAAGCAGATCTCATGAGAAAGAAGGACTTTCTATAGAATCAGAGGAGAAGGGGACACTGTCCTGTGGGGAGGAGACCTGCCTAGTGCAACCCTAAACAAGTTACTAACCTCTCTGTTTTCTCTGCGACAAAAAAGGGATAAATACAGGCTTCCCTCGCTACCCAAGCCTATGTGGTTCCTGAGCTTGGAAAGTGGTGGATGCCTGTTTCATATGATTTTTATCAGGAGTTAAGTAAGCTAATATACAGGGGTGCCAAGAGAAATGTATACACATTTTAAGAGATGTTATCTATGTATTACTTTTAAATTAACACATAGCATTAATTTGATTAATACCACCTTTTGAGCGAACGTCACAGTTAAAATGTGTATACTTTTTTTGGCATCCCGTATATAAGTATTTTGGCAATGCCATGCCTATAAATAAGAACTCTGTAGATGTGGGGTCCCTAAACCCCACTGTCCTATGGTATTTCTCTTCAGATCTTAACCTGGGGCCCCTGAAATTTTTGTAGGATTTCTATCTGGGTCCCTGTACCTGTTTAGGGAAGTGTCTCTCTGGGGAGGCCCAAGCTGGAAAGAGAGGGGTTGGAGAGATCCAGAATTCAGAATGTTTTGGGTGGGAGTCCTGTTGGGCTCAGGCAGCAGTATTCCAGTCAGCGTTGGACCGTTGGCTTCCCTGTTGGAAGTTAGGGGTGGAGGGAACTCGTACTTGAAGCGTCTCCCCATTTCCGTGGTATAAATTCTTCCACCACAGCCAGTGTCAAGCTGCCAACATGACATCCCCGAATGCGGAGTTGGGAAACAGTGTATGGTAGCAAAGTTTCCAGAACATTCCCACCCCATCAATGCAGTAGACGCAGATAACCTCAAGGGAACAGCTAAGAGTAAACTAATTGGGATTTGATTCATGGTGAGCGTTGATGACCTTTGTTTTAAATATATATTGTCTCCCTGTGGATGTATATAATGTAGTTTTTAATAATGGCTGACTTCAGCAACCAGCTAGACAAAATCCTGAAACTTTTTGTCTTTTTTTTTGAGTTGAAGTCTCACTCTGTCACCCAGACTAGAGTGCAGTGGCCACTCCCTGTCACTGCAGCCTCGACCTGCTGGGCTCTGGCCATCTTACCGCCTCAGCCTTCCAAGTAGCTGGAACTACAGGCACGCGCTACCACGCCCAGCTAATTTTTTTTTGATTTATTGTAGAGATGAGGTCTCGCCAAGTTGCCCAGGCAGGTCTCGAACCCGCGGGCTCAGGCAATCCACTCACCTCAGCCTCCCAAAGCGCTGGGATTACAGGCTGAGCCACCGAGCCCGGCTAAATCCTGAAACTTTTAACAGCCACCTTTGAACAAGCTAGTACAAGCCAACCTCAGCACAACACAGAGTCCAAAGGAACCTAGAAAACTGGCTTCAGTTTCCTGAACAAAGAGTGTCATGTACACTCTGAGAGTGAGCGTCAAGAAGCAGCAGCCCCATTCAACAGGTTGGCAAACTGAGGCTTCCAGGGATTTAAGCCATCCACAGGGGCGAGGGGCTTCAGGTAGGATTAGAGATAGAACCCATGAGAATGTCCACCTAGGGAGCACTTGTTATATATCAGGCACTGTGCTGAGCACTTGATAGAGAATATTCAGTCCACGCCCCCCTCAAGGTCATTTATCCTCATTTTGCAGAAGGAAAAGCCGCTGGCAACTGTAGTGAGTTCTCTTACATCTAAATGTATTCACTATGGTGCCCACCCCTGCCGCCATTTTGCAGTCTCATCCTTTCTACTTTTGGGAAGTTGAAGGAAAGACATTCTAGACATGATGGTGCCAGCCGATGTTTACTGTCCTTCTTTGTCCTAACTTGGTAAAATTTAAAAATTAAACACTGGCAATCCTATACTGACTCCTCCCCTAATACCAAGGGGGCCAAAAAAATGTATACACATTTTAAGAGATGTTATCTGTGTATTACTTATTATGCTGATGGTAACCGCTTTGAGCACCTCTTGTAATTGCAGAAGTCAAACGTGACTTGTGTTCAAGGTTGGTGGGGTTGAATCAGGAGTCAGCCTAGGCTACTCACTGGAGTCAGGCAGACTTTGGCCTCTGATCCCTCATCTGTAAAATGGAGATAATAAGAGTTCTTACCTCAAAGGGTGTTGTGGGGATTGGGAGAAATACCATGTGTTAGTTGTGTGTATGTCACAAGTCCTGTGAGTCATGATACACGGTAGCTGTGCTTATTAAACATTGGGTTGCATACAGAGCCAGCCCCAGGGTAGGTTTGGGCTCTGGGGTGGAGGCCAGCCCAGCACCCAGGCCCTCTGGCACCCCGGGCTCCTGGGCTCCTTCCTGGCACCCCTCCCGCCAAGTACTGCCCGCCAGGTCTGTTGAGGAACGCCTCCCTCCCTCTAGAGCCTTCCTGCTCCTTGAGGCTAGTCATGGGCACGTCACTGCAGGAAAGGCGTCTTGGGCCTAATTACCCTTGGCAGGAGCCAGCCCAGGGTTTTCATGTTCATGCCCCAAGGCAGGAGTTCCACATGTTCTAGGCCAGCTGGGGAGAGACCCGTCTCTGTGGAGCGTTCACATGTGTGGGGTAGGGTTGGTAACAGCTGGGCCCTTCCTCTGTGGAAGGAGCTGACGACCAGTATGGGGTCAACGGGTAGGAGTCCATGTCCCCAGATGCCCTGGGTACAACCCGCCATTGTGAGCACGAGTCCACCTCCCTCTGGGGAGCAGAGAGAGCAAGGGGCCAGCCAGCAGCCAGAGGGTCCTGAGACTCTGCCTAGCTGCACCCTGGTCCCTTCCAAGGGAGAAGGAAAATACCCTCTCCTCAAAGCTCTGCCTGGACATCTCCAGTGACAGGCACTCACTACTTCCAAAGACTGCTCAGCCAGGTCAGCTCCCCCTAGAAAATTCTCCACTGTTCTAAGAACAGCGGGTGCCTGCGTGTCCTGAGGTTGGCTACCCCCGTTTCATGCATCTCGACTTCCCAAAACCCTCCCCTCAGACTACTGCAACTGGTGATGAAACTCCCACTGGCACATGGCAGCATGGCTAGTGCTGGCAACTGTGGTGAATTCTGTTACATCTACATGTATTCACTGTGGAGCCCACCCCTGCCACCATTTTGCGGTCTCATCCTTTCTACTTTTGGGAAGTTGAAGGAAAGACATTCTAGACATGATGGTGCCAGCCGATGTTTACTGTCCTTCTTTGTCCTAACTTGGTAAAATTTTAAAAGTAAACACTGGCAATTCTAAATTGACTCCTCCCCTAAATACCGAGGAGACCAAAAAATGTATACACATTTTAAGAGACGTTATCTGTGTATTACTTTTTACGCTGCTGGTAACCACTTTGAGTACCTCTTGTAATTGCAGAAGTCAAACATGACTTATTACCGGTATATATTGAGTATTACAATTTTAATACAGTTTTTCTTTCTTAAAATGTGAGTACATTTTTTGGCACCCTCTGTATGCACGCACTTATGTGTGTGTGTGTATATAAAACTAGACCATGTAGGGCCAGGCACAGTGGCACATGGCTGTAATCCCAGCATTTTGGGAGGCTGAGGCAGGAAAACTACTTGAGACCAGGAGTTCAAGCCCAGTCTGGGCAACATAGCAAGACCCCATCTCTACCCCCAAAAAAGTCCATGTAATACATGATCCCAGTGTCGACCCTGTGGGAGAAATTGTGGAAATCTCATTTTACAGATGAGGAAACTGCGGCTCGGGGCGGGGAAGTGAAGGCCCATGGTCACACAGCCAGTGAGTGATAGGTCAGGCCAGACCTCAAGCCCTGGGCTTCTGGGCTCCAGAGTCCGTGTTCTCATCTTTCGCTTTTCTGGGGTCTACTTTCCTGCCCTCCAGGGCATCACAGCCTCCGTCTGTCTGGAGGCAGCCTGCAGGCACCTCTTCTGAGGCCTGGCCTTCCCAATGCTTTACAAGGCTCCCTGTGTCCCCCGTCCCCGCGCCTCACCTGGCTTCCTTGAGACCCACCCTAGGGGTCTCCACCCACGGGGACCATGGCTCCTAGAGGCAAAGGCCAGATCCCTTCCCTTGTCCTCCCCGCCACCCCCACCCCATCTTTGGAACAGGCCCCCACGCTTCATTTTCCAGCAGTTTCTGCCAGGCAAGGCTGTTTGCCAGTCCCAAGAGAAGGGTGGTTAATGACTCTCC